TATTTAAATAGTCATTCGATTATAAGAACCTTATTATGGAGTCACCCGATTATAAAAAGTTATAATCATCTGACTTAAAAAAAGTAATGATTAGTTGGTTATATTCTGTCCAAAGTAACAAGATTGTTTCCAACCTTATATTAATCAGGGTAAAATGCTTGTTTTGTAGTGGTTTGTTATTTGTTCAAAAATCAAAAGATATAATTACTTTTTAGTTTTAAACTAGTGGTTTTGTAACACTCTAAATCAGTACGACACACAAGTGACTTATTAGAATGCTACACGGAACCATCGGAATGGTTAATCTAAAATTTTCCTGAATTTTTTATTAAAAACGACCATTTGAAAACTAGTCCAATAAAGAAGTTCATCATAAAGTATAAATAAAGTATTTAAATCGGGGAGATCTCAAAATAAAAATATCAAAAATATACATATTGACTTTTCAAATAACTTACAACTCGAATATACAAACAGAGTCTATAAATATACATGTCCTCTAAGAAATACTTGAGACGTATTATGCTCTGAACTCGGTCTGGATCTCGGATGCTCAAAAGGCTCCTTGAATGCTCCACCTACGAATCTGCGTAAGGAAATAAATTTCAAACGATGAGTTTACTAGCCCAATGTCACACTAACAACTAAATCATACTAAAAGTGTTCAATAAATTCTCCAACTATCAAGTTTAATGCATCAGTGAGTATACTCGTATACCCACTCTGTACTCTATGGTAGACATCATGGTGCGATTAAGGGTTCTGCATCTCGGAGCTCAAGCACCCCTCTAGTCTCGGAACTCTACATCGAACACAACACCCTTGACTAACCCACCCCTCGAGAGTGTCAGGCCTCGGCTCTAGTTAGTCAGTTTAAAGTGCGTCGCGCACTACCTAAGGATATTCAGACTGATTATATTCATTGATACTAGTATCAGTTACTAAAGTAACCTGGGTGTCCTGATCTTTTCCCGAGTATTCAATCAAGGCTAGTTGTAGTTAACATTATTCTTGTTCTCACTTGTAGTTTTATTTGAGAGGAATTAAAGAGTTTTGGGAAACCTCATATTTTTTTAAAGCCCCTGAACTTTCATTCTCAAAAATGCACTCTGGTATAGATACTAACCTCTCGGTATCGATACCACCCTTTTAGTATCGATACTCCATTAAGGGTATCAATAATCCACAACTGATTTCTATTGAAAACGAAGAAGAAATATTGATACTCCTATGGGAAGTATCGATACTCCCCTAGAGTATCGATACCAAAATTGTACTGTCACAGCCCAATTTTTAGAAAAAAAATTAGAAAGAAAATAAAAGAATCAAAAAGGTTGAAATTTTGGGGACTAAATTATAAAATTTAGTAACTAGTAGACAATTTAAGGAAGTCTTGGTGAATGCAAGGATTAGAACCTGAATTTGCCCATTTTTAATACCCGGTGAAATTTATTTCCCCTTGATTGAGCTATCCCATTTTCCCCAAATTTGTAATCCCTAACCCCCAAATCAACATCTCACCATCGACTCCTTTATCGGCCAAATCCGCTGCCGTCCGGCCACCCCAGCTCGAATTACCACCACAAAAATACTCACCATCGAACGGTGATCAAAACTCAACCCTTGATGACAGACAACTTCTTAGATTGATAGTTGTACCTCATATTGCTCGGGAACGGCCCAAGCAAGCAATTGAAACTTATCGAACCTTGTTGTCTCTGGTTCAAGCAATTGAAACAATACTTTTGTTTCTTAATCCAAATTTGCTGCCTGTGGATCCACATGATCCCTGTTTGGCCTTCGGTGCTTACTTGTTACACAGTTCAGGGACTTTACTGGCGAAGAGAAAGAGGAAGAGAGGGAGAAATCATTTTTAATATTAAAAAATCATTACAAGTGGCATTTAGCGGTCAAATTTAACGGTCTGCCATGGCTCAACTCAATTTGAATTACAGAATAAAACGTTAGGCACCAAACTAGAACAAAATAAATGTTAGACACTAAACTAGAATCAAATGCATACATTGGGCACCTTTTGTATATTTAAGCCAAAAATATATAACTAAAGAAATATAGTCTATTGATGACATTTTTGTACCAACTATTTAAGGTCATGAGCATAGCTTTTCATATGTGATATTTGAAATGTTTTTTTATCTCATCAATAATAATTGTATGTTATTCCAAAATTAAATCTATTTAAATATTTATATTATATACATAAATATATAAAATAAAAAATTGAAAAATAAAAAACTAGTATTTTCATAAAAAAACATTCAAGACTTAAAATAATAACAAAAACTAAAACTAAAAAAAAATAAAAATAAAAATAATCTAAAATAAAATAAAAAAACAAATATAAAATAAAGCATAATCTATAATTAAATAAATATAAAAAAATCAAATCAAGTTTTTGCGAACCCACAATATTTAATAAATTGGATGCCTTAGCAACAAATTGAGTAACCTCAATGACTAAAGGGATGATTGTTCTTTTTAAAAGCTTCGAGTTTAAGCTTGACGTCTGCAAAGATATTTGAGCATTCATTATTAAATGATTGGAAGTTTCATTTAGGGTTTCTTGAACCCTCAGCAGCCTCTATGCATCACACGATCTCCACCGTCAGATCTGACGAAAATCAATGTCCCAGATGCAACTCCATCTAGGGTTTTTAACCCTAAATGTGTCAACAACCACCACCTACAGTGTTGATCGACCATCCAACTAGTGTGTGAGCTCCACCGCTCTGCTCCCCGACGCGTGAACCGGCTACGAGGACTCCCACATTGCCTTCGTCATCAAATCCAACCGAACAGTGTGGCAAATCAAATCAGCAAACAACCAAATCTAAAACCCCATTAAAAATAGCCTAAATCCCACCAAATCTGAGATATTTACTAGGGAAATCATCCCCCATCTAAACTCCAGTGGTAATGAAGTCAACGGGCCGAAAAGCAGCATCGGAGAAAGGTCTAGTAGCCATGTAATAACGTCCGGCGTTTTGGTTGGCGACAGCTAAAACATCCATGGTTTGTCCAAGGTTGATCATCATATAGTCGCTGGTAAACCTTTTAACGTAGGAAGCATCTTGTGCAACGAGTGTGAGGGTGTGATTCACGATGGAGTAGAATTTTAGTTCATTAATTGCAGTGTTGATGATTTGGAGAAGGCATGTACACCCATAATTAACTTGCATACGAAATATTGTATCTGCAAGCATGGATGAATTTAGAAGGGTTAGTCTAAATATACCAATTCTTTTACTAAACCTACCAAAATTTAAAATAAAAAATGGTGTGCATGAATGTGGTGGGGTTTCCAACATGTGTAACTAATTTTTTTATTATTTTCAATTTATTACAAGTCTTAATTCCATTAAACTATAATTCTATTAAGCACTCACCTTAGCCTCACTTAATTCAAATTGATTCTAATTCTTTGATTGTTCCGGAACAGATTTATGTTCAATATCTACATAATCATATATTGATACATATCAGTATTTCCAATAGCATACTCTAATTTTCATTTCTTAAACTAAAAGAAAGATCTATTTATCGACACGGCGGCGCGGTGGCTGCACGATGACATAAATATTAAACAACATAAAATATAAAATTATATATGTTGTGGTGCACCTGGACTAACAGGGGAGCTAAGAAGGTTATCTCAAGAGTTTTCAAGGAAGACCAGCACCAAATTCGATTTCCACAAGGAGAACTTCTAGGCACTTTCTAAACACCTTTGTTGCTTGTAATTTGTATATGCATTTTCTAAGCACTTTCCATATACTATTTTGGCACTTGAAAATGGACGACTTTATTCTTAATGCTTCTTAAGGATCAAAGTCCTTTCATCTCCTCATTGGTTAAACTTTCCAATTTATAATATTGAATTCATGATGACTCTTACCCAACTATCCTTCCTATTTTATTAGGGTAAATTACCTATTTAATCAATCACCTATTACTTAATTTCTGTTTCATCATCCTACTGATTTTTCCTTTTTCAAAAAGATCCCTAACATCATGTTTTGGTGTTGTTTTGATCGCCGGTAGATACTTAATGGATTTAGATTTAATCAGATTTTATAAAGTTGGATTTAATAAAAAAAAAGGATTGGAATAGGTTTAGTATCGGGTTTTTAAATGTAAAATCGTGTTTGATTGAGTTCGAATTTGACCTATATATGTGGTCCTCTGATTATACGGTGTTAATTTGTTGAGTCCATCAATTATTGAAAGTTACAAAATTTTGACTCGACTATTATATGTTCCAAACTCGTCTTTTTGTTAAAAAATTAATGGTCGTTTAACTTGGACGTTAATTTTCTGATTAAGATATGATAAAATCTGATAACAAAATCATTTGAACTGTATTTTATTGATCGAGTCTCCTTTTATATTTACGGGCACTTCTATTTTGGCAGTGATGAACTTAAGCCCTTTCGATGCATGGCCTGCAGCAGAATTTGTCAAGGTGAATCTCATGTTTGAAGATTTTCTGGAGACCACGTTTTTCAATTAGAAAAAAATTTTATAACTTTTAATAATCGAAAATTTAATAAAATGGTATTTTATAATCGAGAATCATATTTGTATTTTATCCTTATTTTTTTATAATAGTTTAAGGAGATTCGATTTTAAAACTAAACAAGATTCTTATAATTATGCCTAAAGTATATAAATGGTCATTTGGTTATACGATATTATTTTATTGAGTCTTCTAATAATTAAGAGTTACAAAATAGTCACCTGATAATTCATTGTGTTCTAAATCGTCATTTTCTTTTAAAAAATGATGTCAGTTTGAGTTGAACGTTAACCTACTAACTAATATATGATATAATATAAACTCAGTATCTTAGTTAAAAAATTAACGTTGAACTCAAATTATTATTATTTTTTAATGAAAAATAACGTAAATAATATTAATGTAGTAAATTAATTTATTTATTTCACAGAAGCTAGTAAGCTAGTCCTTTTGCCACCCCCACTCAGCACCAACTCCCAGTCCCTACTTTAATTTCTTTTTCCTTCCTCTTTAAGCCCTCACTTCTTAAGCATTTTCCCTCAGAATTTATTCCCTCTCTCTGTGTTTTCAACTCAGTTTTCTTACAAAAACATTTTCTTCTTCTTGCCTTTCCCTTTGCTATTGTTCCAATGGCTACATCAGAAGGAAAACCAGAAACCAAACAAGAAGCTAAACCAGAGGTTGAAGAAAACCAAGAACCTCCTCTCAAGTACAAGGTAGAAGCATGCATGAACAAAAACAAAAACTAAATCCCCCTTTTTTTCCCTCTCTTTGTCGAATGATTTTCACCCTTTATTTTTTATGGATTTTCTCAGGCTTGGGTGTTGAAAGTCTCCATTCATTGTGAAGGTTGCAAGAGGAAAGTCGAAAAGAAACTGAGAAAAATCGATGGTAATATTTTGAACAATCTCTTATCTTTTACTTTAACATAGTTTTTGTTCATCACTATGGTATGATATCAGTGATTTTTAGTCCAAAATTGTTTCGAACAATCAAAATCTTGTCGTTTGTCAACTTTTCTCATCTGGGTTTTGTTTTGATTTTCAGTTAACCCCTCGTTCATTTATCAAAATTTTATTTTGCGGGGAAATTTCTTCTGTTTTTACCCATCATTTTCTCTCTCGTTCATCTTCCATTCTGTTTTCTTTGTGATTTGCAGGCGTTTACGAGGCTTATGCTGATTTGAAACAACAAAAAGCAACTGTAAAAGCCAACGTACACGTAAATCCGGAGACTTTGATCAAGAAGCTAGTTAAGAAAGGGAGACATGCAGAGATATGGCCTGAAAAATCTGAACAAAAAGAGAAAAGGCAAGGGAAATCGAAGAACAAAGGCAAACAAGTTGCCCAGTGATGAAGCTAATGATAACAGTAACCATGGCGGCGAGAAAGAGAAAGAAACGGTGAAAAACGAAGCCTCCGTTCATCAAGACGACGGTGCTAAAAGCTCCGAGAATGGTGCCGGGTCAAGCAAGGTGGCTGAGGGGAAGCAAAATGTGACCCATGATCAAGCCAAGGAACCGAAACCTGAGGTGAAGCAAAATGTGACCCCGGCGGCTGGTAACCAGTCCCCGGGGGATGAGAAGAAAGTTGGAGGCGGTGATGGTGGTGGTGCCGGCGGTGAAAGTGAGGGTAATGCTGCTGAGAAAGTGGCAGTGGCAATATGAGTAAAAAGAACAAAAAGATGGGGCAAAAGGCAAATACGAATGCTAATGCTGATGAAAAGGAACATCACGGCAAAGCTGCACCACCAACCATTGGATCACATTTCAAAGGTCAAGGACCCCATGGTCCGATTCCCATATCATCTCCAGCCAATCACGGCCCGCCACATCAGCACCCGATGTACGAGTACCCGACGTACTACAATGCACCGCCGATGTACCTCACTAGCTACAACACGGCGTATCCAAGTAGTAGCTATAGTACATCGTATTACACCTCACCTCCGCTGTATTCGTATGCGTATATGCACCCGGGCCACATGAGCGAACGTCCACCGCCTGATCCAGACATGTACTCATCGTATCCATCGTACTCATCCCGACAGTCCGATTCGTTCGAGATGTTCAGCGACGAAAACCCGAACGCATGTTCGATAATGTGACATGTATAAAGAATACCGAGCTTATACAAGTATAAGTGTGTTTTGTGGGGGTATAATTTTGCAATGTATGTAGATATGGAAGGAAACCTTGTACTCGAAGTTAGGTTAAAGCAATAAGAGTGGTGGAAAAGATGGTGTAGGGCCTTTGCCCCACTCCTCTTTACTTTCTTTCCTCTATGTGATGTGTAAAATGTAGGTTTTGATTTGGCGTTTTAGCTTTTATTTAGGACTATACTAATTTTTAGTCCTTGAATTTGATAATTTTCTCATTTTGGCCTTTAGTTCTTTTTACACGTTGTTCTGTTAACTTTTGTCTTTGCTTATTCTAATGAGGTGTCATTTTGAGAGGACGGTATGATTTCAAAGTGTTCACCAAATTTAAGGATTAATGTGTATCAAAAAGAATTTAGGGATCAAATAATGAACATTTATTAAGATTAGGGATTAAAACGGTTTTATCCCAAACATTTAATTTAGACTTTGGGGCCAAGAAAATTGAGCCTCGTTCGATTTGATTTGGCATTTTTAGCTTTTATTTTGATGGCGCTGTTTAAATGAATGCTTAGCTATAGTTAAATGGAATGGACCCTCAAAAGATTTAGGATTAAATTGACTTTTAGTCATTGAATTTGATAATTTTTTAAATTTAATCATTGCAAAATTTTGGTCATCTTTAGTACTTACATTTTTATTTTCTATCAATTTGACACTCTAAGAGTACAGCACGTGGTTTGGTCTCAAAGTGTACAACATCAAACGAACTAAAAAATGAGAAAAATAAATAAAGTATCAAATTTAAAATTACCGTAAACCAAAAAATTTAGAGAGTAAATTAAAAATATTATCAAAATTTAAGGACTGAAAATTATTTTATCCCAAAGATTTAATTTGTATTTCGGGCCCAAGGCTCATGTTTTTTTTTCTTGTTGGGAAATTTTGCCACATTGAAAGACAATTGTCATGTTAGGTGATGCTACATGAAGCTTTAAAAACTTGTCATTTTGCACTTTGGTACCAAACTTTGTGCGGAACCCTTTAAAATATCCCCAAAACACGTCATTTCTGATGTGTAAACATGAAATCTGATGTTTTTATTTAGGTTTAAATGTGTTTGACGCACTCAAACTTTTGAAAAAGATCAATTAAGTTTTTAAAAAATTTAAATATTCAATTAAGTCATTGATTTTGAAAATTGAATCAATTAAATTCTTAAAATAAAAAATTAAACTAATTAAGTTATTTTACGTTAATTGTTAAGTTTTAAGACCTTTTCCGTAAAATATTTTTATTACATGATATACTGTAATTTTTCTACATTAAATTTATAGAATTTTAATGAAAAATTCTAAAAAGATATATTAATATCCTCTAAAAAAATAAAAGGGTAAAGTACGTGCTTAGTACCTAAATTACCAGTTTTGATCAGTTCTAGTGCCTAAACTTTCATTTTTTTAAAATCATACCTAACATTTAGTTTTTGTTTCATTTTAGTACATTGTCGTTTAAAACTTAACGGACGAGCTCTTCGGCCATCGCGTCCATAGTTTCTGATCATTGCATTTGTCACCCGATTAAGCCCAAACTTTTAAGTCTACACATTTTTTCAATCTCTAAATGCGATTACGGCCTTCGTTTCACCAGAAGATGCCTCAATTTCCTCAAATCGAAGATGGACTTTTCAATTTGTTTATCTTTCGATCTCCATGGTCCAACGTCCGATGGGCCTGAAACTGGACCGTGTTGGTTAAATTGTCATTCTCTCGTGGCCCACTGTTCGAATTGGTCCTCCGTTCACCAGAACTATGTCACATCAGTCCTTCCGTTAAACATTTAACGGCATAATACTAAAATGAAACAAAAAGTAAATATTATGTATGATTTTAAAAAAATGAAAATTTATATATTATAAAATAAATCAAAATTAATAATTTATATACTGAACACATAGTTTACTTACAACAAAAAGTTGATAGTTATCAATAATTTTTTTTAAACGCCATAAGAAAATATAATGACAAGAGACATGTGATACTAACCGATAAATAATTAAATTACTAATTATTAGCTTTTTCATTAAAACTAAATAATTTTTCCAAAATTAATTGATGAAATTTTAAAATTCTACCTGGTTTTTTGTGCAATATTTTGAAAGGGAAAAACAATTCGTTCAGTAACCCATTGCCTAGTGGTTGAAGGGTAAACAAAGTGTTGCTTTTGTTGACATTACAGGTGAAATGCCATGATTTTTGTCCCTAGTGGAAGTAAAGAGTCAATAAAACCCCTATCTCTCTACCTGCTTATGAGTGGAGCAGCAGCACCAGCAGGGCCATTAAGGCCATTTACTCTCGCTGCCAAGTTTTCTTTTACAACCAAAAGCAATCTCTCTCTCATTAAATTTACCTTCTTTGAAATCTGTGACTACTCATTACTTTCTCCACACTTGCTTTTATTGCATCCTTTTATTCTACATGTAGTAAGTTGGGGTAAGGTACATCCTAGAGGTTATTACTTTGATGAGATTTTTTATTATTAAAAGTTTTAAAAATATTTTTTTAATTATTTATATATTTTAAATTTATTTATTTTTATTAAAAATTTGACGATATTTTGAGATAAACTTTAACTTACTAAATGAGATATGATAAAATCACATCTTTAATGATGTCTACGAGCGTTGTTGTTACTTTCAAATGCGGACTCAATAGAATAATGTTGAGTATAGACTCGACGACATAATGCATGCAAACGGAGAATCAATTCATTAAACACGACTCAAACGATTTCGAGATCAAATTTTATCATAGCACAATAAGTGGCGGATCTAGAAATTAAAAAATGGGAGTCTAAAATTTTAATGTTCATATTCTAAAAATTTGAGTATGCAATTTTTTTTACTTTTTTCTATTTTTATTAACAAACTAAACTAAATTTAACATTTTTCTCAAAATAATGGGTGTGCAATGGCTCCTCTAAGGAGCCACATACATCCGCCCCTGATCACAATCAATAAATTTATGTCTAGTCCAGACTGCAGCTAGTTTTTAACCAAGAATGACAAATCTGAAACATATGAATAATTTAGTGATTATTTTATAACTTTTAATAGTCAGTGGATTCAATAAAATGAAGCTCAATAGTCATGAGTTTTTTTTTTTTTTTTTGCAACTCTTGATTGTCATGAGACTTAACAAAATAATGCCCCATAATTAGGGGACTATTTGTGTACTTTGCCCAAAAACTTTCTTTCATTTTAAATTTTTAAATATTCAATAATTTGTTGATTTGGATTCTATTTAGAATATAATATATTGACTAACAAGACCTTAGAAGTAAAGCAATTGAGTAGGGTTGCAGATAACTTAAAGTTCATTATCAAAACAAAACATGCAAGCTCTTTATGCATATAGGTCCCTCTGGACCTAATTGTTAGCAACTTTTGACTCCAATAAATGCAAGACTGTGTGTTCGAAGTTAGAACAGTGGAATCCCATTGTAATGTCATTATTTTTTAATGCAAATAATATTTGCTGATTTGATTTTTTTATAAGGTACGTGAAGTTTTTGTATTTTTAAAAAGAAATCGAAATGACTCTCCCGTTTCTTATCTTAATATGATCTTTTAAATAAAAAAAACTAAATATATCCCTCTAACTAACGTTTTTTTATCATTTTCCAACGATTACGTTAATTTCTGTTGACGTGATTCGTCAAGCAGGTCGATGCCTCGATGCCTTCCGTTTAATGTTGATTGGGCGCGTTTTGGATTTATATCAACTTGGATTTATAAACCCAAAAGACACTTAGTCAGCATCAAACGGAGGGTGCTAATATGCTTGACATACCACGTCAACAGGAATTAACGAATGCATTAGTCAATGACGAAAAAAATTGGTCAAGAACATTGGTCAAAGGGTAGCATTGAGTATTTTTCTTAGTTAGAGGACTACATTGAAAGATAAATAATTAGAGAGTCATATTAGTTTATTTTTAAAAGTATAGGGACTTTTCATACTCTTTAAAAAAAGAATTCACACCTCGAACTTTAAAAAAAAAGAATTTAGCCACTTGCCACGTCATAATTCATTGTGGATTGCTACGTTAGCATCGTAATAATCAACGATAAAAACTGTTGGTCAAAAGATCACATTAAATTCTTTTTATAATCACTCTCCATTTTTTTCATAGTAAGTGTCATTCTTTCTTTTCCAAGTCCTTGAAAGAGAATTTGTGGACGTATCTTTATTAACCAAAAGAGAGAATAAAAAGAATTTTCTCCGCATAAGGGGAAAAAATGTCGGTGAATTTATTAAATGACATCAGTGATTTTTTGATATTTATTTTATGATTATATCGATCATATTAAAAAAGAGTACAATAAAATTTTAACATAATTTAATATCTATCAAATTATTTTTAATTTTTTTATTGTTTTCCAGATTCCAAAGTTTTGTCTTAACTAATTTAGACCGATCTGTGTCGTACACATGTTTTTGGTGAGTGAATCTCCAGACAAAATTTTTCAGCAAACACAAAAACTCGAATTCAAAAGCTTACTTAAGCGTTAACTAGCTGCTCAAAAATAAACACTCTCCCCCTTCTTCTTTTTCCTAGCAAGCGTTATTCTTTCTTTTCCAATTCCTTAAAAGAGAATTTGTAGACATATTAATCAAAAGAGAGAATAAAAAGATTACTTTCTCCATAAGTAGGAGGAGAAAAAAAATGTCGGTAAATTTATTGAGTGACTTCAGTGATTTCTCGAGATTTATTTTATGACTATATCGATCATATTAAAAATACTTTTAAGATTATTATTTTTACTCTAAAAGATTACTTCTAAGATTAATCAAAAGAGAGAATAAAAAGATTACTTTCTCCATAAGTAGGAGGAGAGAAAAAATGTCGGTGAATTTATTGAATGACTTCAGTGATTTCTCGAGATTTATTTTATGATTATATCGATCATATTAAAAATACTTTTAAGATTATTATTTTTACTCTAAAAGATTACTTCTAAGATTAATCAAAAGAGAGAATACAAAGATTACATTCTCCATAAGTAGGAGGAGAAAAAAAATGTCGGTAAATTTATTGAATGACTTCAGTGATTTCTCTAGATTTATTTTATGATTATATCAATCATATTAAAAATACTTTTAA